CTACTTCCACCTTTGACGTTCGAGTCGTCCGGCCGAATGAGTCTTGACTCGCCTAGAGAGATGTCCTCATCCCCCCAGCCCCATGCTCCTATACCTGAAAAGGCATCCGCGATATTCAACCATCCCAACCTCAACTCGTCAGCGCCTGCTTTGTCGACCATGACATCTGCAGCGCCCACTTTGACACATCGGTCTGCGACAGCGCCTACCAGCAAGCGGTTAGCTTTTGCCAGTAATCTGTCAGTGTACGATACCTTTTCCGCTTCTGTCTATGATCGACGGAGTGAGCCTGCCACATGGAGCCGACTCACGCCTGCGTTGGCGCAGCGGATCAAGGAGGAGCTCAATTCATACAAGATGGAGGAGATGGAAGTTCATGCCGCCAGTCGGATCCAGTATGTTCTTTCCTTAACATTCTACCTCCGAGATACTGATAAATGTCATTTTTAGCACACAGTTCTTTGTTTGAGTTATAAGTTTTGGATTCGCTACGACTACTTATACACATAAAACGCTCATTTTCCGATCTACGAAGCCACGACATCTCACCATCTGCCCTTGAACGAACTACCACCTTCTTACCAGTTCCGGATTCACAACACATCTCTCGAAATCGTCCATTAACAGTTGTTTTCAATATATACCTCCTCACGTGTAATAATTTTTATCGCGCAAGGCTCCGGCGCTTTTCCTTCACGTTCGCACTTGGTCAGATAACTCACACTCGCTATTAACTAGTATGTACGCTGTAGTCGTGCCTTATTCTCTCATTTCTTTTTTGGACGGACATTCTGATATAATGCAAACCCAACGCCACACGCACTCACCATCGTTCCCCACCCAGCCATCCCATATATAAAGCTAACTGTTTTCATCCCTGTTATCCTTTCATGCTTTTTATTCACTCTGTTCCTCGTCGTTGTTTGATTTTAATTCAGTAAAGAATTTTAAAACAGGGATTAGACTACTGCGTGGATGTAATAATCGAGCATACTAGGTGTAAAATTTATCCCATTTTTTCGCATCAAGCATGAAGCGTGCGTCACGTCTTGAACTCCGACGACATCCTCAGCTTACTATGTAGCCGTTAGTTACGGGGATGTTTGCACCCTCGAACGGCTTTGTCAGGGTAACAGACCATCTGGACAGCATCAAACGAAGTGTATGTAACTTGTTGTTGCTTTCGGCTTGAATATCGGAGGACACATTAACTTTAAGACTTCACGCATCCAGGTTGGATCCAGATACTACTCAGCAATGGTCGAGCGCCTGTAATGGTCTCTGCGAAAGCTAAGCACATGTCTTTTCAATTCAGTCTTTAGTCGACCCTTGGTCCAGCACAGGTTGACTCAAGTTCTACGTCCGGCTCATTGATGAACTTTCCAGTATTTGGTTCGGGCTTGACTATGCATTGCCGCCACCGAGCATATGGAACTTACCACTTACCTTGCATCAAAACCCCAAAAACAGCCCGATTACCGCCGTCCAGCCTAAGCTCGTCTTAGTAACTGTTTGTTGGAAACCTGGAGTGTTCTCAAATCTTCCGGGTCCTATCCGAAACGTTGGTCCTCGATGAGGTAAGTGTTAACCATCTCAATACACTTGAATGCCAAAGAGCTAAAAAGGTAAACGGTTATCACGAATGGGAGACTCGACACGCGCAAGTGACGGCTGCCAGTTCCCGTCATATTCCGACGGCGCCACCATCGCAGGCTCTTTGGAGACATGTGCTAGTCGGATGAGAGTGGATGCAACTATGCTCTATGCTCGGAGTGATATTTTTACTTTGTGCTGTAACGTTAATCATGATGCGGACATGCTGTCGCAACTGAATTAAGCGCTTAAAAAGTATAAACCAACTTTATATTAGCATCAAACCTCGGGATCAGTATGCTTGGATACGCAGGTACTCAACGAACGTATATCTAAAGTCTCCGATATGACGGTTATTGTTGAGAACACAGTCAGGGACATCGTTACTTAGCTGAAGAGAAGTTTGATACTAGGACATATTTGGACATCACCGCTTTGATCCTATCATCATTCTCCTGCTTCATATAAAAGTCCGTTGCGTTCTCGTCCCAACTTACTCTAAGCATCCATTAATTTTGGTCTCGCTTTATTTAGAGGTAACGACCAGTACGAAGCACGTTTCGCGGAAGTCAAGATCTAGACATACTACAACAACTTAAAATATAGGGTCCCCAATAGCAAAGTGATATCACTGGGGGTTGCACTCTCCAGATTAGATATAGTCGTTCGGCACATCCCATTCATCACCATCACTCTCCGGCGACTCGGATTCTGACTTCTCAGACTTCTCGCCTCTCAAGGGTATTTTGTCTACGGCAGCATGATCCTCCGCGTAAGCTCTCCTTCGCGCCGGGGCCGATCTGGTCGAGGGTATGGGGTTATCCAAGGGTCATGTAAATGGAACGCCTGTGTCGCGTTATTGAGAAATGATTCAAGTGCTGGCGCAAACTGTGCATCGGGCGAATCCGATATACTGGAATCCATTAGACGCGTCGGTACTACAGGAAAACTGAAGCACACAAAATTGGAGAATCGGGGCTGACTTTGAGTTTCAAATGGACATCTTATCCCGGCTTCCCGGCCCGTAGATCCTAAGTCGAGTCGGGTGACTACTTCGGCCGATGTGGATGACGACAACCACTTTGAGAAACTTACAGGAGTGATCAGGCATTTTAGGCATATCCGCTGGGTTGGCAGCGTTCCCTCAAAGGTGTTGGGCAAGTCGGAAGGAAGAGTGTGAATTGCAGCGGGGTATTCGGGCCAGGGAATGGTCCACGCATGGATGAGTAGAAAGGTGTTGGCGTCCATGGTTCTCAGAAAAGACATTGATTAACTCCCCGCCCCGTTTCGCGTCACAGAAAAGGTGGAAAAACGCAAATATCTTGTAGACATACGAAAAGTTACGCGCCGGAAATATCCGAACAATCCTTCCCTCTCACCATCATACATGATCTCTTTGATGCCGGATTCAAGACGTCAGTACACCATTCAGCTCTTCGCTGTTTCCTGCTATAGTTCGTGCTTGAGGCATACGGTGGTGTTGTATACTTTGGCTATGCAACTCCTCTTCACGTCTCTCGCGCGTAGTCGGTGCGTACGAATGCTAAAATATGTATACGGATACTGACAATGCAGCGTGCAGGACTCGGTCGAATTCACATATCCGGCATTGAATCTCGGAAAATCAAAATTGCTCTTCCCTGCTCTCAGATGAAATTGGGACGTCATCTTGGATCCCGCGCAAATTAGCGCTGGGTGAGAATGCCTGATGTTAATAACATACCTAGTAAATCACATGAAAATAACATGTATGTAACGTTAAAAACATCGGAGGGTCCCAGCAGTAGTGTGAAATTCTGTGAGAAACTCCGGTGGGATGAGCCTAAGGAACGGCCTCTTCCAAGGCTCCAAGCATCATCGGTCACTAAGATGACTACTTCTAGGTGGTGTGCTTGTTGTCGTACACCATGATAGATTTCGATTTACCTTTGATTTACCTTGTATTCATACATATATGGTCATTTCTGACCGCGTAGCGAAATAACAGGAAAATCACACGTTTTTAACATGTTATTTACGTGTTAAAAACAAGAAAACTTTCCGCGCTGCGCGCGATGATGTCATGGGAAACTCACAGTTATTTACATGTGAGGATGAACCTCACATGGGGGGTGCAACCATTGTCACGTTAAATACTTTGCCGAAAAGCATTCTCACCCAGCGCTAGCGCAAATGAAACTCACGATGGTTGGTTGACGATCTTGCACTGGCAAATTGAGACCAGGGTATGGAAACACATGTTATAGCGTCCAACATTCCACCGAAAGATTCCTATCCAAACGTCACTGGGTATCTCTTGCTCAACTCTTTGCGAATCTTCGTTTATCGCTCGATTCCTTCATCTTCATCCTTTGCTACTATAAGCCGAGGAAATCGCACTTGACCAGTCAAAGGTCATCTCTGTCGTTTTTGCGCTCCGCGTATAGGCGTGTGGGAGTGTCAAGGCAGAAGATGACTGTCGCTGAAATTGCGGATGTTTCTTCACACCGAGGGTTGGACTAACGGGAGCATTGCCGACTCAGAGCTGAACCAGAGAGCAGAAGGTGCTGGGGCTATCTAGCATCGAGTGTTCGGTGCCAACTTTGACAGCAAGGAATGCCCATTGTTCTAGGCTTGAAGAAGTTGCTCTCCATGGAACAAGTCGCTGGAGCGTGGCGGAATCAACGCTGTTACTGATTGGTGGTCAGACTATTCGATTAGCACTTAGTACGCGCATTCAATTTGATTAGTCTCGCTTCAGTTCCGTTCCTCATTGCCAACAGTTAGCGCGGGCTTGTGCCCTATTGTCCGATTGGCTCAAACCCCGGGATTAGCTGGTCATCTCAAGGCATATCCTCGACGTTAAATTCTTATTTGGTCACAGAGCCTTATCCCTCGTCATCATCCATGATGATCTGGAATGTCACTGATAACGCTAAAGGTTACTCTTCCAATGTCTCGCCTTGGTAGCTTTGCGGGCACTGCTTTCCTGGTATTCGCTTGGGTGGTCAGGATCCGAGCAAAGTGCTCTTGTGGTCGGTGTAGGTAAGCAAACTACCTGTTTCCACTATTAATTACGCCGAACCGACGCTGTGCAGCTATTTCCATCTGCTACGCTGGTTTCCAAAATCTCGTGTGACCAGCCTCTCGGGCACTTCATCTCGTACGGCCAACAGGTGTTTGTGGGCTTTGAATCCTTGTTATTATCAGGTCAGTAACACCTATATTGGATCGACTTGAGATACATGGCTTATAGAGTCACGGCGATCGTCTGATTCGGACGATTTGACTATGAACTCGGGGTGGGCTCACTTGTGGCAGACGGACTACTTACGTGGCTGTCTACATGTTGTACCAGCAGTGATTCCTGAGCGCCATTTTATCAAGGGAGAACTACATTGTAGACCCCACATAAATACAAGAAAATCTTAGTAATACAAGTCGTCATTATTGAGCGTCGGTTTCTTGCGTGTGCCTGCAGATGAACGTTCGGTTACGATCCCTTTGATAGCGAGGTGCAGATCATCCGATAGGTCTGAAGTGTCGAAAGGGAGAGAAGAAACCAGGTCTTTAGCCTCTTGCACTAGTTTCCGGAGTTGCTTGATGTCGCGACGCTCATGGAAATCAGAACTCGGGTTGAGTTGCCTTTGTAGTTTGATAGCAGCTTTGTTCGCCTTGCTGTTGAGCGGATTGTATCAGTTATCGCCTGGTACAAACGGCAAAAAATACGTACGTAGTCTGTTTTAGCGAGTCATCAAGGGTGGCAATATCATCAGGATTGCACTTGTCACAGTCGTTGTTAAGCTTATTTTTCGTCTTCGTCTTGCGGCTGAGTGTATCGACACGAACTGTCTCGAGACAGACTAAAATGTGCGGCAGCGGACCGAGAAACAAGCGAAGATATAGCCCTGGGTTATCACCAAGCCGAGATACTTCTTTGGTGCATGAGGCGTATATTTGTGCATGAAGGCCGGCCATCCCTCTCTTGGCAATGCCTCGTCGATGACGAAGAACTTTCTTGTATATCCGCTGAATCAAGGATGCAGCAGCGATCTCTCTTTCCGTGGGCTCCGGAGTTGTCACATCTTGCGCCGGGATGGCATCGGCAGCTACAGCATCGTCATCGGTAGCCTGCTCAGGTATCTCAACCTCTCGTGTATCTTCCACCTCCTCCGCTTTGTCATCCGGCTCCTCCCGCTCAGAAACCTCAATATGCGGTGAGGTAGTCTGAGAGGAAGTAGACGCAGAAAGACTGAGCTGTGCTCGGATATCCGTGAAATCATTGTAGACAAGCTGACGGACTCCGGGAGAGGGGCGAACTTTCGCTGGAACCCTGCTCCGGTGAAAGAGCTGTATCATCTCATCCATGGTATCATCTTGCAATGAACAACGAATAGTGTTTGCCAATTGATCCCACGAGTCACTGGCTGCACTGGTGTATCTACAAAGGCGTTAATATTATGCAGGCGTCTCCTAAAGTAGACTCACATACCGCTCATATAGGGAGGAGCCCTCTTGGTGTAAAGATAGCACTAGCTCCCTAATATCGTTACGGAGAAAATCGTTGTGGATGTTGTAGCCCACTATAAGGTAAATAAGCAATAAGGACACAAGTCACAGAGCTAGCAAAAACTGACATAGACCAATGGCCTTGAATCTAATGGAAGAATATCAGAAAAGATAGCAACGCACTCGGTAACTGACTCACATCCTTGCGATGAAAACGTGACGAACTTGGTATGGCACGTTTGAAACATTTCTAGAAATCCCATACAATAAATGTTCCGCTACATTGTGAGGATGAGAAGCTGAAGGATAAGAAATTTATGGGACTTACCAGAGTCTCTACCGACGCGCAATTGTTGCAGGAGATCCCATATAGGTGCTAGAAGGACGTGATAGAAGTTTGTCTGTATCCCCTTGTTGAAATACGGAAAATCATATTCCACAAAGCGCAAGAGCCAGCTACGAGGGACAGTTACGTTGTGCGGTAATGTCATTCCCAGGCGCTCGCCACAAAGAATGACAGAACTGCAAAGAAAATCCAGAAAGTCACACAGAACACCTATGTTGACGGGTAATCTTTGCTTTACAACGTGCCTGGAAAGAAGATCAACCCACTAGACTCGTAAAGATCTGCGGGATCCAGACTTACTCGAAAAATCGAAAACCAGCCGAAAGAGACCATGTTTGATGTCCTGACATCGAGTCCAGAAGATCATGAAGAATGAGGCGGTCGCCTTGGCGAATATACATGAATGGAGGGTATATTCTGAAATAAGCCGCATTTCTGAGATAATCCGCCTGACTTCGGTCAATCGCAAGAGCCAAGGCGGCTGTTCGCATCACGTCCGTGAGGAAGTTCGTCCAGGGGTGATATTCCCGGCCATAAACAAGCGTTCGCACCCAATCTTTCACGACATTTAGCGCCTTTGGGGCCTCGGGGATTGTAGAAAGTGCGAGATGGGAAATAGAACCAAACATATGGTGTGGAGGATAAAGAGCCTCATAAAGACGGTTGATCCAGAATCTACATGGAAATAAATATTGCGAAGCTGGAGAACGAGAATGATAACGTACTTAGTTCCTCTGTATTCCACGTCTGCATGGGCATTCTCTCTAAGCGACTGCAAGATCAAGATTTGTTGCAGGTGCAGACGAACACGCATATTATAGTAATCGATATTCATCACCGAAGGTGGTGCGTGAGCTTCCGGGCATTCAGGCCGCGAACAAAACCCAGATATGGCAAAAACGAGGCAAGGCGCAAATGCTTTGCTTCTTGCACATTCGTCATTTTCGGCGGCAACCCTTTGTTGGAGATGACTTCTCAGAATATATCGAAATTGGCCACGTAATTCGAGTACTGACAGCCTGAGATTGGAGTCGGAATCCCTAGGCAAGTTCCTAGGTTGAAGTTTAAGAATCTCTGAGTATAACCATGTGTTCTGGGGCACCAGGAACTCGTTCTCTGCTATTCGCCGAAAACCGAACAACGCCGCGGTCGTTACATCCCTACAAGGGTCCGTTCGGAATGCTGCAGCAGAAAGGAGGCCCACATAGGTATAAAACAGGTTGAGTTCTTCAACTGCGTCAACAAGAGCCATGTCTTGAATTCGAAGAACCCGAGAAAAGTATTGGTCTAGACATAGCAAGGCTGCCGAACTATGGCCAATCTTGTAAATATCAAACCCAGTTCACGCAGTTGAGATATCTGGCCTCGTATGATAGCAGTGAACATAGAGAGCTGAAAACACCTTGATAAGCCACAACGAGTAAGACATGAGGCTAATACTTACTTCCGCAGTTTGCTTCACAATACACTGTGAAGAAAAATCCAACAACCGCGACACGGCAGCATCCGAGCGTATGACATTGGGGTCAACACCAAATGATATTTTGCGCCAAAGCTCTTCAAGAATGCATTCCTGAGCTCGACGCAAAGCATCTTTGTTTTCAGTTTGAGCGAGGAAAAGCTTAATAGCCTCTTCTTTGCGACCCTCGGAATAGTGCAATTCAGCAGCTTCGCTGAGTCGTCCTTCTTTCTCCAATAAGTCTGCAAGAGCGATATCAAGATCTCTCTCTTCCAAATACTCCAATTCTTTCTCGACTGACTCAAATAGCTCATGGGCCTTTCTGTTTAGGAAAGTGAGAATGGTTAGCCAACATGCTTCGGGAAATGACGTACGACATCTGGCGGTCAGAGAAGTATGCTAGTCTCGCAAGCTTGATAACATTTTCGACGACCTTCAACGACATTTCGTCTTCATGAGCTTTCACAATTTCGACCGCCTCGTCAAATTTGCCGATGTCTCTATACAACTCTGCAGCATGGGTATACTCCTGAACCTGGATAAATTTTTCGGCAGCCCGATCCTTCTGGTCAGCTTGTTCAAAGCATTCGCCGCTGATCCTGAGGTAGGTCATGGAATCTTTCGAGCGTGCCTCACTAGCACATTTCTCGAATGAAACGGCTGCTTCTGTGAAACAAGAACGTCGCTCAAGCACTTTTTGTCTCGATGTACCAATGACTTTACGAGCCTTTGCTCGCAAATCATAGGCATTTGCGATGGATGCTAAGGCAGGAAGCTTGGCCCTATCATAACAGTGCTTGGCCTGTGAGAAGTGCTTCGCATTGAAAAGTTCACGGCCTTCTGCAGCCCATTCGTCTGCCGTTGACGAAGACGCGAGACGAGGAGCATCGGATCCCTGAGTATAATTGTTAATCAAATCTTTTTTCGTCCAAAATATCTTGATGATTCGTGATAAGAATACTGTCTGGATAGTACAGCACCAACTTACTCTCATTGGTTCCCCCATCTCAGATCCATCTGCGATCCAGATATTTTCACGTGCTCTTGTAATTGCAACATACAGCGATTTGAGCTGAAAAATATCATCGCTTTAATAGTGCTGGGTGATGGTGTGATAATTCAGACTCACCTCATTACAAATGCTAGCATGACGAACAGGGTCAAATTGAGGAGGAGGATTTCTAGGGTCCTGCTGGCTCTCCTCGACGGCGTTCAGCACAACACGCCATTGCGCGAGATTGACGGGTGAATCAGCAAAGAAGTTGTAAAGCAGGACCTGAAAGGATGAAGCGCCACAGTGAGAAACTCACTCGCGACATAATATATTAACCTACATCGTTGAATTCGAGTCCTTTGCTTTCATATACGGTGCTATAATATTGGCCATCAGTGGCTTGTTTAATATAACAAAAAAAAGACTCGAACAGCACAAGACCGATTTCACCAACTTTCTGTCGGAGTCTCTCTCTTGCCGTTTCATTCCTGACAATGATACCTATACATAAAAATTCGGAGTCAGCTCGCTTCAACAACGCCGATAACACGAGACAAACACTGCTGAGCACCAAACTCGATATGATTGCCGACATCACCAAAGATGAACTGTTCCAGCTGGGCGTGGTCTTCATTATTAAAAAAGACAGGTTTGACCCCATCTACAATGCCCATCTCTGGAGAAAGGCGATCAATAGAATCCGCCCAAAACATCATGACTAGATCGATGACAGAATGTGCGCAATCAACAATCCCTGCATGGGACCTATAGTTGACCGCAAGTTGAAACATCTCAGGCGGATGCGGAGCTTCGAGTCTGCGCTTCTTCCGGTACTGGTCCTACTCGTATAATTAGACTTGCATATATGAGAATTATTCTAAGTGAATACTACCTCAACATTCCATTGAAATGCCTTCAATGCATTGAAACGGAAAGAACTTCCAATGGAAATGGTCTGTGCAGTATCACCTGCCCAGAAGAGACCGTCTGCATTGCTACATAGCGCCCTCAAGACTAGATGACGAGTTGGTTAGCTGATCCATGTGAGACGAAGATAAGAGAAAAAATTTACTCATAGTATCGATGAGCATGTTATCTTGCACCTCGTCCACATATCTGTCGCAATATTTATAATAGATAAAGAGTACAAACAGAGGACTCACAAATTGTCGAGACCTTTGCCCGGAATACCTTTTTCCGCGAAATGCTTCAATATGCCATGGGTCCTAGACCTCGATTATCTTCTACTCACGGAATTTCAACAAAGACCTTACCGATCACCGGTGTCATAGTCTCCCTGCGACTTCTTCTTGCGTATATACAACTCAAAGAGTCTGTACACCTCGCACCTCTGGTCAGCAAATGTAGACTGCCGGCGTTTACTGAGATCAAGGTATGCGTCTTTGCTAAGGTGATGCCTCTTTTCGCTCAGTGTCTCTGCCGAGCCTTCAATGACGCCTGAACGAAGACTCGGGTCAATCTCTTTAACAAGATATATGAATTATTTACCTATAATTTCGCTGAATACCAAGGCAGGATCTAAATTAAACGCTGTTTAAATACCTATGCGCAGACAAAAGAGAGAAGAAGAAACCTAATCCTTTAATCAACGGTTCGGGGAAATGAGACCAGTAGGACTCGCAAAAGGATTCAAAAGTAATGACACCCATCTGGCGCTTGATACCAGTACGTCTCGTGTCGATCAACGTTTGCATACTCATGTCAGCTTCCAACATGTCGCAAAGCTATAATCGGTAAAAATGGGAAGCATGGATGAAAAAGAGCTGCTACTCACGCCATCAAATGTGATAAATAATGGGAAATGCCTCTCCTCGAGTTCACTGTACTTGGCTGGTAAATCAGTCCGCCAATCTACAACATCATCTGCGTCAATCAGCCCTAAATCATCTTGGTACTGGGGAGCTCTCGGTAGCTTCGTGAGGTCGGCAGAGGATTGTGATGCCATTGCCAAGGAGCTGGACAACTTCGCAAAGTATTCCTGCACTTTCTTAGCGAGCATTCTGGACTTCGTGACGAAGACTTGACGAGGACGAGGTAAACCTGACTCCATGAGTTGAAACGTCCGCTCGATGAGCAACATCTTGAATAACATAGTAGTTGTTTTTCTACATCAAACCGATGAGCCAAAGCATGAAGCCGGCAAACTGCTCGTGCATACCCCGTGCCGCTGCGGCCTATGACGTAGCAGGACCGTGGATGCTCTATGATACGTTTCTCTTGAGTGCTGCGAATACATGGTATCAGAAAATGAACAAAGAGAGTATAAAGACCGTGGCGCACGAAACCATATGAGGAAAAGTTGCATCCACATCTGCTAGGACGGCTACCAAAATGAATCAGATACGGCTTTTTAGGACAGCATCGCACCGATACGTACTATTCAAAAAAGGCTGCGCGTCTTCATGGTTAAATCATCAGTCCGCAGGCAAGTATCACGAGAACATACCTGCGAAAATGTGATGTATTTTTCGACACTGTAGGGGGTCAGTGGCTCGAACTCTCCTCTTCTCTATATGACTTACACGAGTCTTGAATGAATCTGAGTGGAATAGTCAGTGTTTGATACGAAGGAACAAAAGATGTGGGGCTAACCTGGGCTGTTTCGTCGGGACGTAAATCCGGCAGGCCTTTGATCTCCGAAAGCAACACTTCCGGTAGCGGAGGAAAGATAGCTGGAGTAAAAGTATCCTTCGAGGATTGATCTGCGTGTTTCCTAACGGCGCATCTACAGCATCACATTTAGTCTACAGACATTTGGCAAGTTACAACGATAAAATGATACCTCTTCCTGTATTCTTTTCCCTTTTTGCGAAGTTGACTGCTGATAGAACTCCAGAGATGATTGTCGATTTGAGCGTGGTTAAAGATATCAAAAATTTTGATAGCTTCAAGAGCTGTGAGGAGCGGGAAAAGAGAGATGGACGTTAACTTACCTTGTAGCTCTCTCTGCTAATGATTCAAGGTAGTTCAGTAGCTTGGATTATGAATTTATCCTCCGAACATACATCATCGCCCGGGATTATGTCAATTTGATACTTCAAAGCGGTGTCAGTGATATTTGGGGCTGATAGGAAACAAGTTTCTTACGATGAGTTTGAGGTTACGGGAGATTTTGGCCTCAAAGACAGGGACCTCAGTCGCGCTTCCACTCAAACGCCTTTGATTATTGTCCGTAAAATGACCGCATGAGAGTTCCCTGTGTAGCGTACTCTAAGTATGCTTGATACACGATATCATGCGACCCAACACGTACTTTATCTTCTTCACGGTGGCGTTAAATGCGACGAGATCTTTCTTGTGGGCGTTCCGCAAAAATTTGTCAGCATTTGTGGAAATGATGATCATCCACTCGCCAAAGCCCTCGGCAGTATCGAAGTATAACGCCCTTCATAAATATCAATACAGTATCATTTCATGAAACGACATGAAGATATACGATTTCATTGGCTGAACCATCGGATATGCGGAAGGTAACTCAACCACAGACTTCGGAGTGTTCTCCTCCTCTGTGGACGACGCAGAGGTGACAATACGTTCCTTGAAAAATGCCGATATCTCAGGACGACCGAGCAGCTCCAAATAGAACTGGGCACATCTCAACTTTCAACGAGTACCATGCAGATAAACCAGCACTCACCTGGAGAATATTCTTTTGGCTTTGCAAAACACGATCCACGAGGACAGACGCATCGCTCGACGTTTTACGCATATCGACATTCAGAATATCGAAATACCTTTCGGCCAAAGTTGTGGCGCCGTCTTCTCGCTTGACTTGCTGGGGCCTCCTCTGAGACTGCTTGGCCTTGCCCCTCTTGTTATGACGTTCCGATCCAGTATCGATGGGACGTAGAACAGAGACGAGGTATTTCAAAACCTCGGGCGTGATCTGAGCTAGTTCGTGGTATCGGGTACATAATTCTCTGTCTTCAACAAAAGAGGAGGAAAGAAGCTCCGTAGAGAGACAAGATATAGCTCTGTAGTGGACCGTCCCATCATAGGTCGCAGCTTCGGAGGGAAAGGACTCCAGCAACCACGAAATCAATGGTGTAGTCTCACTCAGGGCTGTGAAGATGTAAGAGCCTGATAGACTATCAGATAGCTCGATAGCGTCAACTTACACGACAAGATCAAGAGAATGATACGAGAGGCCTCGTTGTCGATTAGCTCTTGGAAAACATGCTTGAAATTATCCTTTGTGAGAAGGCTTTTCAGCTCCTCCAATGCAGAGTCAAGCACATCCCTCGAAGCGAACTGCTCCGAGCTGAAGAGATCGCTGCGATATATGCGCTTGCGGGGCATGGTTGCATCATGACAAAAGCGTTTTCTGGTTTATATGGGCATGGAGACACACTTCCGGCAAAATAAAGACAAACTCAGACCCCAGCGTGAGCTTCAGAATTCCAATCAATCACTTACGGAAACTTCCTAAGCGCCTAGATAGTCTCGAGACGAGTAGAACTCAGGGACAAAATCCCAGTTCCGTGCTTTGCTGCGGCACGACGCGTCCGGGTCTGACTATAAGTGTCTGCATAGGGTCTCTGGAAAAGTGACTGCTTCCTGGGCAAGCCAGCAGGTGAAGGCTTAAGAACGAGCCGAAAGGTATCCCAAGTCCCAGGCTAGTGACGGAAGCGTGAACATGTTGAAGTACTGAAGAAGCGCACCAATTGAATTCAAGCAACAAATTGCCTAATCGAGAGCACAGGACTCCCGTCACCTGTTATCGGTTAATTCATTCACAATAGAGCGGAAACTTGGTAACCTCGAGAAGTGGCAACTTGAATAGCCCACAATAAGTCGATCATCAGCACATGTTACGATGGCAAGCAAGAATACGAGTATTTACAGATATACTAGAAAAAAAGTCATCAGTCATAAAGTGACCTTTATCACCAACATAAAAATCATGAAGACCCCAGAGCTTTCATCTCCGCAGCGACATTCTCATTCGGACGTATATATCCTTTATCATCCATCCGAGTGCTATAAGCAAGCCCATGAGAAATCATCAAAGTTAATGAGACAAATGAACTGACACGGTCTTGTTGTCTAGATCGGTATGATCCTTGATACGTATGACAACCATAGGCAACGCAAACACCAGACCTCCGAGAAGGAAAGCCGATTCCGAAATGAACATATTTGTGTACCTATATGAAGCATCAGGAAGCATCACAATAAAGCGTCAGAGAAAACACACGGAATCTTGACAGCGTCCGCACGCCATATCCCAGCCGCCCCAGCCGACTGGATCGACTTGTAGAATCTAGCAAAGAATGCCAACTTTGACGGATCGTTTGACGTCGCATCCATATGCTAGTATTCCGTCGTCTGCCACATCGTATCAGAATCCCACAGAAGATGTAAAACCACACACGACCGGCATATCCGTAATCGTAGATATCCATTTTCTCGGTCTCTGGTGCAACGTTCTCGTGCGTGTACTGCTTGGTAGAAGTATCCCCGGACAGATGATTCTAGAGGGGGGAGGTAGGTACTGATACCGCGTGTAGAACCAATTGAAAGCAAAGAACGTAAGGAAGAAAGTAACAATCATTTGATCAGTCTTTAGCGTCACGAATAGACCCATGTGCGACTAAGGATTGGCTGATAATGGCGCGCTGCGACACCTAATATGCGTGCCGTCCATGTGCCAGCTTCGCATCTCGCAGAGATGGTCTTTTGGCGCGTCATACGAGCCCATTGCAACAGCCGTTGGAAGCTCAGCGTACTGGCTCTCCTGCACGCCAAAACGGCGTGTCGTCAGGATTCCCTTCTGAGAACGTCGGACCGGCCGAGGGTGATAATCAGGGGTGCGGCTGTGAGCGAGAGAAGTGTCCAAACGCGGTTCAGAAGGTCAAGTGTAGTCTGGAGAGACCTGGGGTTGAGGTTCGTGATGCCAAGGGTGGCGTGCAATGCGTAGGTCGTCGTAGATTGATCGTGGTTGTGAGAAAGCATCGGCTATCGGGCCGGACAGCCAGCGCATCCTTTACTCCATCTTCCATCACGCCACAACTGGGTGGCGACTATTTTGCGCTAGACTCGAGCCAGTCCCCACTTCGGTTGATGACAGTCGATCAACTAGCATCCGCCTGCTCGAGTTGATCGATTGTCATCAACTGGTGGGGAGACTGGTTCGAGTCTAATTTTGCGCAGGTCAAAATGGAATCAAAATCCTTGGCACCTCCCTAATAAGGAAATACTGAAGGATTTTGACCGATGCAAAATCCCAGAAGTGCATTTTGATGTCATTTTGACTCGTGCAAAATAGCCGTTCCCCAGCTGTGACGCCGCAGAGGCAGGATACACGGACACTGAGTATCTTCATGTCCATGGGCTGATACTTGATGTTAAGTTGTCGGCCATCGCTGCTACAGGGAAAACGGTGGAGGAAGCCGTGTGCAGTGTCGCAAGCTCCATCACACGAGCGTGAAGAAGGGCAAGTATGAAAAGCGATCCGTCGAGGTCGAGGTGGTGCGCATGCTCTGTGGTTCCTTCCTATCCGTATGCTGAATCTTGAACAGCTTCAAGATCTGCTCGATAAGTACGTTGCCGAAATTAACAACACCCACTGGTGGACATGTTGGGGTTCGCCGATAAGAGAGGATGATCCTTCACGACAACCGAGATACGGTACTCGGGCTGGTCTGATCATGAAAATATTGCTCTGCACTATACTTTCTCCACCTATGTCAGCCATGTGCACCTACTTATACAACGAGTATGTTTTCTTTTCTTTCTTTCTTTCCTCGTGTACCTATCTAAAACTTTAATCCAGTCTTGGACGTGTGCTGTTCACTCGGACTCGGCCTTTGTAACTTATTATATTCGATTTCGGGAACTTTCTCAGCGTCAGTTTTCGACACCGAGAAACCCAAACATTGCATTTCCAAGCTCATTAATATTCGTGCTTGCTCCAATCCAACCTTTGGAAAGTTCGTGGTAGCAACTAGTTGAATCCGCGCTAAGTTGCGCTTGCAGTGGCTTGAACGGAGTCACGTGACCGTGACAGTCGCGTCGGTCACGTCAATTCTTGTCACACTGGGATTTGACCCGTTCCCTCAACTCAACCTCAACTTGAAATAGCTGAGATAGGTGCACGATGTTCAGGTTTGCTTCTGGAATACCATGGTTCTTTCGAAGGCAAGAGAAACTAAGGGGATTCATCCGGACGTTGACACTGGTATGTATGTTCCAGTGTTGATTCCACAGTGGGTTGAGCATTTCGGACGGCAAGCGATTTCAAGAGACCGCGATCTCCGTGTTTTGGCTCATACTTCCATTCTAATCTCCGTTGTCACTGTTACTGGGACTTGCTGCCACGTATCCTTTGTTTAACAGGCGCTCATTGATGGCTACATGAGGTAAGCATGAGGCAAAGGCAAAGTATATATTTCGTTGCGTTTCAGCGAGGGACGGCGTCTTTCCGACACTCTACCACAATGGTCTCTCCAAAATCGGCTGCAAGAAAACTTCTCGGCCGTATCAATGAAAATTGGTACTATCAGGCAACAACGAAGGCACGATGGATGGACTTGATAGGAGACTACGCTGGCGATGAACCTTTCATCATCGATGGTAAGTTGTGATTTTTTTTTGTGACAACAAGAACTAATTCTTTTCGGTGGCATAGGAGAATCCCTCATACAAGGTGTCCTAGATGATCCTCTCCTCGCTATTGGGCGTAACGACGGCACGTTTCTTGAAAGGGTTTTTCCCCAGTGGCAGACACTGATTGGCAGTGACATGCTTACAGACACCAGCTTCCAGGCTTTACACGCTATTTACAGCCTCGAGAATACCCTGAAAAGTTTTCTCTCTCGAAAAGCTAATGTTGAGGTTGTCTTTTGGCGTAGTGAGTAGGGACTTGAATTGAATGACACCCTTCTTTATAACAACCTATAGATAACATTCACGCTACAACTAGACTAGGACAAACACCTTTCGTACACTCTTCGCGACACTTGGCGCGGCAAATTCTTCTCAAGCATTTACAGCAACTCTCGAGTATCGTCCCAATGCATCAGTTCGATGATCTGCAAGATGGATTTTGGAAGAAGTATGAAGCCTCGAGAAAAGTACGTGGCGCGTATATCACTTCTTGCCCTCCGCCCTAATATCGCCTGTCAGCCTATGTTTGTGCTCATCAGCGACAGCGTCCCCAGCCGCGACGCTCCTGCTGATAGTCTTCACCCTGGCTACATCGCGTGTCAACGGAACTTCATCTTTGAAATCCTATCCTTTGGACTGCCTGTAGCTTTACTCAACGGGTTGGAGTTCAGAGACTCCAAGGTGTGGGATGCCTTTGTTATGGAGGGCGTTAACTAACTTTTCAACGCCTAGATCTTGTCTTTTGTCATTGAAAGGACGTCTGCTACTAGGGACTCCGTCCCTCCTTGGTCCCCAATCGCACCGATATACAATCGAATGGATCTGGTTAGCCAAAAATATGGCGTCTCGGAGATATTTCAGTGTTCTGGACCGTTGTCTTGTACACATGAAGTTCTCGAAAAGATTTGTCAGCTATTCTTCGTTGATGATTCATTCTTTGGGTCCATAAATCCATCTCAGGAACCTTTAATGGAAGAACTTTTAGCTGCATTTCTTCTTCACATCTTCAGCCTTCCGGAGTTGCCTCTGAAGGCTCGAATCCAATCCCCCATCGAAGTCCCATCAGATTTGCAGGACATTTTGCGACAGTCCTTCCTCCCTCGGCTTTTCTTTTTGGCCTCTTCCATTCTCCAAAGGGCCACTATTGGTCTGGATATCGATCTCCACATTTTTTTCGTGCTCCTTCAGTATCTCGGCCGCGGAATGTCTTTGGCTTCAGCTGTTCGCGCCGATATCATCATGCAGGCAAAGAATATTTGGCTCGGTGACCATTTTCCTCATCACTTCCCGTGCCTGAAGGCTTTCACTGGGGGTGCTCCGCAGTCTCCCAGTGTTTCATCTTCTATCTCAAGTATAACAAGTGACAGTGAGGTAGAGGATGACTGGGAGGAGGATTCAGATCTAGGAGCATGGGATGCATCTGACTCCGAATCTGAAACGAACCCTCAGGAACCCATTCTGATATCCACATCCCAAGCACAAACTCAACTCCTACCGTTCTCCCACCCCGTCTTTGACAAGGCACTCCCTTCAATTAACATCCCCACTGCCGGTGACGATCGACCACTTAAGTCGAGCAAATTCCTCAACTTTTCGGTATTGTTTTCGGATACGCGTCACTGGCAGAATCGCAAGAAGATCATCTCCCCTGGCCAGAAGCCTCCGGTCGTAAATTGGCGTGTTCTCCGTTCCAATCAGCGGTACATTGCCAATTTGCAACATCAAGCGGAAACATTGACGGGAGCGTCGGGCAGAGGGCTTCAACAGATTACTATTACTGTTGATTCTGCAGCATCGAAGAAGCCTGAAAGGGGTCCTAACCTGTCGGTTCGTAAATTTTACTTATCTCTGTTATAAGCCGAAGTCTTACGTTTCGGAAGATTAAGACGACGAAGCAAGTCAAGCTCACAAAGAAGGAACAGCTGAAGAAGGATATCCAGGAAAAGAAGAATGCCGAGAAGGAGAGCAAGACACGACAATGGTTTCTTAATCAGCTGAGCGCTATGTCCGAGAAGACGACCCGGCAGAAGCTCGATCTACTAGAGCAACTAGCTCGTAGTCCCCGTATGGTAGACCCTTGGCTCGCCGTCGAACATCTCATGTACAAGGTGCATCTTCTCCTCAAGATGTGGATTGAAAACTCCGATCACGAAAAGGACTCTGTTCGGGATCGTTATACCGTAACAATCATGCGACTTGTGAAGGATATCCGTGACAAAGGAGCTACTACTGCAGCGCGAGGGAAAGCGTTGTCTGCAGTCTTGACGAGTTTTGGTTTCTCGACTTACATTAACGGGTTTGTTATGGTAGCAGAGCCGCCAACGCCTTGTCCGTTGGCATTCGACTTTGTGAAGTTGGTTCGATCAAAGGGAGACGTTCTTTATCCCTGGATGAAGATAACTGAGCATTCTATTCTCTGGCAGCTCCGGCTTTTTGGACCATATATGGACCGCTCTATGGACGGCAGTTTTGATAGGCGTGTCAATTTCGATCCCGACGCCTGGTAAAAGAAAGTTCTCGATTGCATCGATGATCCCAACCATTCTATGCTTGTCGTTGGTAAGTGCCATTTCTGTACATGCCCTCTTGCCGTCTCATTGACCGATCCCTCATCTAGCTCCGACTAGTGCTGGAAAGACGTTTATCTCATTCTACGCGATGGAGAAGGTTTTGCGCGAGTCAAATGATGGCATTCTAGTCTATATAGCGCCGACAAAGGCCCTTGTCACTCAGATTGCTGCTGAGGTTTATGCTCGTTTCAGCAAGAAGGTTCCCAATGGTACGTTTTTTGCATACGTTCCTTATTCGTAGGTCCATGGAATTTACAGGGAATTTATGGGCGGTCCATACACGAGACTACCGTATCAATGAACCGCACAACTGCCAGATTCTTATCACTGTGCCAGAAATGCTTTCGATTATGCTGTTATCACCTCCACTTGCCTCCAAATGGACACCTCGAATTAAAAGGTATGTTCGCGTCCACTAACATTGCCAACACTCATCATGTTTCTGAACAGAATTATTCTCGATGAAATTCATTCCATCGGCCAGCAGGAAGGAGGCTCTGTTTGGGAGCAAATCATCCTTCTCGCGCCATGTCCAATCATGTAAGCTTTTATTACGTTCAGACGTATCTTATGCTTATTCTACGCTAGTGGATTGTCGGCAACCGTCGGAGAACCGGAGACTTTCAACGACTGGCTTGCATCAGTTTCGCGAGCACATGGATACAAGCATACATTCATTCAGCATAAACACCGCTATTCACATCTTCGAAAATTCTTCTATCGTCTGGATGGGTTGAAGAGCCTACGGCCATTTCAAGGACATGAATCGTATCAGCCGACGTCTAGGATGAGATTCCTCCATCCACTGTCAACATTGGCCTTTGGTCCGCGGGCCCTTCCAGAGGATTTATCGCTGGAGCCCTCCGATACGCTGTCACTCTACGGCGCAATGAGCCAACGCAAGGACCTATCCATTAACTTAGTCAGGCTCGACCCTACTCGATTCTTTTCCCCTGTCAAAGGATTGTTGAAGCAGAAGGACATCCTGCGATATGAAACTGATCTCAAGAATGCGCTTATGGATCTGCCACCGTCATCTCGGAACGAAGTTATCCATGATCTTGCTGACAAAGACATCCCGCAGGGCACAAAAGATAAGGAACCTAGCCACCAGAGCTTCGAGAGAGGACTTTTACCGCTCGTGGCTGATCTTCATGCTCGCGGCGAACTGGTACGCATTAGGTTACACATTTCCGTCAGTTTATGCCATTGATGCACCTTGTTTCTAGCCTGCCATTTTATTCAACTTTGACCGAGCGCTTTGCGAAGATGTTGCCGAATTACTTCTGAAAGAACTCTTGGAGTCAGAGTTGGTTTGGAAATCAAGGAGCCCAGAGTGGCAGAGGAAATGTCAGCAATGGCAGAAGTGGCAGGATAGTTCCAAGGCTCGTATCCGTGAAGAGAAGACTTCATTTGTGCGTGTCATTCAGTAGAAATATACGAATTTAATGATCCATGGGTGCTGCAGTGTGTCGTAAAGATAATACTTGAAATAAGAGCACCTGGCTGATGAAGGACTGTTGAGTGCCGCCAGATTTACATGTTCAGGCTGTCTCGCACCGAACAGCCGGTCACACCTTCGTTCTTGCCATCATTGTCGTTCAAGAGACAAGAAAAGACAAGACAGCTTTGAAGAACGATTCTGCATTCAGTCAAGCAGGCGACCGCTGTGATTTTGCCAGTTTCGACGTCGACAGCTCTCGGCCTCCTGCTACATAACACCATAGCCCGCTCGCACCATTTCACTGCGACCAAGACACCTGCAACCGGATATCCTGGCTTTATTTCGTCGGTATTCACGGTTAGGAACGGGCTAGTGGGGGTTCGGGCGTTGTAGACTGGGAAACTTTGGAGAGGGCGCAGTGGCTGGTATGCTAAGCATGCATCTTCGAGGGAAGTTATCCGCTCTCATCTCAGAATGACTTATTGCTGTTTACAAGGGAGAAAACATCTCTACAGTCTCCCACACTACCCTAATTATGCTCCGCCGCTGCCTCTCATTACCGCTAGCACAGACCCCGCTCATGACGTCCTACCACTGACTTATTGGCCTCATACCTGTTACGTTACTTCTATACACCTCGTACATCCTCGACGAATCTATTTATGATGCATTACGCTCACGAATGAAGGCACCATGCTGTTTTCACGATTTTCTTGCATTTTTTTATTTTTTTATTTTACTTGCCTTGTTTGGCAACCGCGGACAAAGTTTTTCGGAACGTCTGTAGGGGAACCTGTTGTTGAGTCCACGATCTCCTCTTTCCACATGACATCTATTGATGTCACGATCTCATTGACTCGCTCCGGGGAGCACAAATCATCGATATCCACTGTGATAGCCTGAGGCCGGTACAATCTTTGTAGCACCGTAGCAATATCCCCCAGCCAATTAGACTTATTCTGATACCATAGCGCTCTGCAAGCATCAATTCCCAGGGGAGCAAGCTTCGCGGAGGTCTGTCGTTCGGCAAGGAGCCTCAGCAGATATCGGAGGGCGAGAATCAGTCTACGATAGCGTATTGGAGTGAAACCCGTGACCCGATACAGACGTTCCGAAAAACGTTGTCCACATTGCCAAACAAGGCAGGTAAAATCAAAAAATTAGATAAATACAAGAAAATCGTAGAAATAGCAAGCAGACTTCATTTGTGCGTGTCATTCAGTAGAAATATACGAATTTAATGATCCATTGGTGCTGCAGTGTGTCGTAAAGATAATACTTGAAATAAGAGCATCTGGCTGATGAAGGACTGTTGAGCGCGACCAGATTTACATGTTCAGGCTATCTCGCACCGAACAGCCGGTCACACCTTCGTTCTTGCCATCATTGTCATTCAAGAGACAAGAAAAGACAAGAAAGCTTTGAAGAACGATTCTGCATCCAGTCAAGCAGGCCGTCGCCGTGATTTAGCCAGTTTGGACTTGGACAGCTCCCGGCCTCCTGCTACATAATACCATAGCCCGCTCGCGCCATTTCACTGCGACCAAGACACCTGCAACTGGATATCCTGGCTTTATTTCGTCGATTTTCACGGTTAGGAATGGGCTAATGGGGGTTCGGGTGTTGTAGACTGGGAAACTTTGGAGAGGGCGCAGTGGCTGGTATGCTAAGCATACATCTTCAAGGGAAGTTATCCGCTCTCATTCGGAATGACTTATTGCTGTTTACAAGGGAGAAAACATCTCCACAGCCTCCCACACCACCCTAATTATGCTCCGCCGTTCCCTCCCATTACTGCTAGCAGACCCCGCTTATGACGTCCTACCACTGACTTATTGGCCTCATACTTGTTACATTAACTCTATACACCTCGTACATCCTCGACGAATCTATTTATGATACATTACGCTCACGAATGAAGACACCATGCTGTTTTTACGATTTTCTTGCATTTTTTAATTTTTTAAATTTTACTTGCCTTGTTTGGCAGTGTGGACAACGTTTTTCGGAACGTCTGTAGCCAAATTTTAATTCCGCGTCCCCCTTTGCAATGCAGAAAATTATGCGTCGGAAGTACATATCCGAACAATCCCTTCCCTCTTACATAGTGCCATTGGAACCTCACCAGCTCTGCGTATTTCCTGCAATCCGCATTCCTAGGGTCTTTTCTTCACAGGAGGAAATACGAGGCTAAAGAACCAACCACCGACCAATCCCTAAGATTCTATCTACACATAATGGACGCCCGCCAGGCTGTAGGCTCAACTTGTCGTACACCTTCAGAGCAGGGGAGGAGGGACCGTCTGAGTTGACTTGGGCGGACTTGATAGATGAGGAGGTGCTTGGTCGAGGTTCTGGGTACGCCTGTTGACCTCCTTTGGTCCAGGACATCACAACATGAGCCCTGTCATTTCCAAACCCTGCGTGAGGCCCATATCAACTGATAGCCAGGCCATTCAGGTACGTTCATTATGTTGGCTTCCCTTTAGTTCTGTCGCTCATCGCCAACCGTTTAGCATGGATTTGGGCATTATTGTCTCAAAAACAGACGTTGGCTGACCCTTCTGCAAATCATTGCTCGTTCATCTCAAGACATAACGTCGCTATTCATTGCATCAGAAACCAAGGACTTTGTGAGTGTTGTAGATTGCTTTTCCGACGCCTCGCCTCACGGGAAGGTTTCTACAGCCATACTCCATCGCGCTTGGTACTATCCTGATATTTGCCTGAGTATCACGATCCCGAGCAAATTAAAGGATATTCATGGATAGTGAAGGTAAGCGAGCCGCTTATTTCTAATGATTATTGTCGAATTGACGCCATGTAGCCATTTCCATCTGCTACGCTTGGTTCCAAGTTCTCGTATGGCCGGGCACCGTGCCCGGAATCCTTGTTATCACCACGACAGTAGCACCTGTAGTGGATCGACATGGGATACATACTCTCAAGAAGATTTTAGAGGCACACTGATTGTCCGATTCGGACAATGAACTCGGTGCGGGTTCAGTTGCGGCGGACGAAATACCTACACGGCATGTCTATGTGTTGTATCAGTGATAATTCCTGAACGCCGTTTTATCAAAGAGAAGAAACTATCTTATTGTCGACTACAAATCAATATGAGAAAAATTAGTAAAACAAGTCGTCGACATTGAGCTTCGGCTTTGTGTGTCTGCCTGCATATGAATGTTTGGTTACGATCCCCTTGACAGCGAGGGATAGGTCATCCAATAAGTCCTCGGAAGTTTCGAAAGGGAGAGAAGAAACCAGACGGTTGGCCTCTTCTACTAGTTTCCGGAGTTCCTTGCCGTCGCAACGTTTGTGGAACACAGAATCCGGGTTGAGATGCATTTGTAGTTTGACTGCAGTCTTGTTCGCCTTGCTGTTAAAAGTCGAGAATCGTATCAGTTACCGCCGGTAAGAGTGGAAAGGAATACGTACTTAGTCTGTGTTAACAAGTCATCGAGTGCATTGTACTCGCTATGACTACACTCTTTAAGCCTATCTTTCGTCTTCTTCTTCTGGCTGAGAGTATCGATACGAACTGTCTCGAGACAGACTAAAATGTGCGGTAGCGGTCCCAGAAACAAGCGAAGATAAAGCCCTGGGTTATTCCCGAGCTGAGATACTTCTTTGATGCACGACGCATATATTTGAGCGTGAA